CGCACATGAAAGGCAAAGGTGCACCAATTATGCATAAAAATACGTAAACGGTTTCGTGATGGCAGCTTTTCTACTGAGCTTCTGCGTGAATCACTACAGCTGCTCTCGGAAGTTGGCGCATGAACCTGACCCCCTTTGACTAATCAAGGTGAGAAACATTCTGCATTCCGCAACCGCGAGCAGCCGTTGCGGTCTTGTGAAAAAATTATCCGTCTGTGGGTGGATGAGGCGAAACAACTGCGGCGTTTCATTTGAGCACCTGGCCGAATACGCGACTGGTTCGGCGTGTGCCGCGGATCGATTGCAGATGCTCCATGCAGGACGGATTAGAATTGAGATGAAACATTAACCATTACATATTTCGAGCTTCAGTGGAGCAGGTGGGCTTTAAAAGGCGAAAAAAAACGACAACGGATTGGAAGCAAAACCTAGCTTAGCAGGTCATGTGCACAATTTTGCGGCAAAGAAGATAAAACACGTACCTTCCACTACCACGTTGAACGCCCTGTCGATGTCATTATGGACGGGAAAACGGCAGTCATACTTGCCGGCTTTGTCTTGCGTTACATTGAATACCTGAAATTCGATATACTGAATGCGACTAGCCGAAAAAGAATAAACAAACACTGACAAACGTTTCACTGACAAAACGAACGCACCAATGTCTTCCCGTACGATTCAAACCGAAACCCTTCATCGGTATCTTCACTGATTTCCCGACCATTGTGATACCAGGTAGGCTTCGGAGCAGGGCTGAAAACAAGATTTGCTCGATTTTCACTGCGTCATTGTTCATGCGACACCACGGCTGCTTTTTTTCCAGTCACATAATTAAACAAGGGATTCGGCGTTCACCATCTTGCTAGCCATCTGGCACGCAGATCAATGTCATCCCAAAGCCTAGAGGCTGAATAAACTCAAAAGCTGATGCATTTATAACAGGGTCCATCACAATTTTTGGTCACGGGAGCGATCACATCTATTAAACCACAAATTTGGATATTATAAATCAAATTGCTTGCAATACGAAATGTATCTACCCACTTAGGGAACTTTGGAAAAACTTTCGTAAGTAATTGACGCTCTATTGAAAGGGACTGATTTTTCAATACGCAATGGAGAATAATCAAAACCGCCAAACTTATTAAGGTCCAGAATGTATTCGGATTAGGGCTCATATCGAATAAATGAGAAGTCTGTACACCACACCGCTTGATGACAATTTCATTGAG